AGAGAGAGAGAGAGAGAGAGAGAGAGAGAGAGAGAGAGAGAGAGAGAGAGAGAGAGAGAGAGAGAGAGCAGATGCCATGAGTGGAAGAACGATGCACGGCGCATGCAGTTTCGTTCTACACGAGGGACTCCGTGACTACACGCTTTCCTTCGTAACTAACAGGTGGAAGCCGCTTGGAACGCGCAGCTTTCCTCGAGATTAGCAGGTGGAAGATGCCCGCGGCTGTGTCGCAGATGATTCAGAAACAAGACCGGCGAAAAGAGGCGGGAGGGACAGAAAGGAAAGGGGGCAGATGGACGATACGTGAGCTGCTTTTGTTCCAACTAGTTCCAGAATTATGGAATGACACTAGAGTCCCGTTGCACGCGAGCGAACAACGTGACCACGGTATGAAGAAAGAAAAAAATCCCGCTACAACGGTTGTCCGAGGTATATTTTCTTTTTTAATAGGTCAGACTGCGTAGAAGAATATGATAAATATCGTATTTGTTAAAGCAGCAAGAAAACTTGCAACTATCAGCTCGGAAAGAAATATTTATCATTAATTACTGGAGAACAATGATTGCGGAAGAAAGATAGCTGTCTAACTATAATATTTCAGCTTTATATCATGATAAATTGCACGCACATAAACGAAAATATTAGAATACGTTTTCTGTATAATATAGCAGGCATTTTCCCAAGATATATTAATAACAGGAGATAATACTTTTATATATACACACATACATGTACATGTCTTCTCTTTAATTAAATTTTCATTAAAATAATAGTCAAGTTCGTACGTTGAAAAGTAGTTCTTTCGTGCAAGTTCCTTTGTAGAAATATTTTGTTCTTGTTTCTTTTTTCATGCCACTTGACATATCGATCTGGCAAAATTAGACCACGGAATAAAGTACATTCGCTTATCGATGATATTGTTTCTAGTGTAATCGAAAGATTCATTTCTTCATCAGGTCGTAAATTTCTATACAACGTTACGAAACAATACAATCGCAAGGAAAAAACAACCTTATTGCAAGTTTATTACTTCCAGGCATGTAAATGCATGAGTATTCTGCGTGTTGAGTAGCAAATATATTGTATTATTGATGGTTTATTGCTCTAATCGACCGACGAACGATGGTACCACGAGGCACCAAGTGCATCGGCATACATACGCCGGCCGATCGACGAAAATATGCGGAATAATTTATTCGATACGCGCAATTATTTCTCTATCCTTGAGCGGAATCATCGCGTCGCGTTTATTATTATTTCATGAGGAACTAGATCCGCGCGCGTGACATCGTACCAAAGTCACAGAAAGTTCCTGTGTACTTTGTGATGCAAGTCTTCATCAAGTTACATTTACATAAAATTTTAATGAAAAAAAACTATGCGTATACAGAAAATGCAAGAGACCAGAAGGTTATTCTATTCTCATTTATTTTATTTATTATTGTTAATATTTTCTCTGTTTGAAGAATCTTCAACTTTATTATGCATACACTTTATTATGCGTAAAATGGATCTTTTCATATATTATATAAAGAAATTAAATTAATATAATATAAATATAAATTATATTATTATAATATAATAATAAATAATATGAATAAATTAAATAAAAATTGATATAACATCTTAATTAATTCTCCAGTAATTTAATTTACCATAGAGAATGGAAATACTATAAAAGTCTTTATAATTTGGAAATAGGTTAAGTGTAAAAGTTTAAGCATTATTCAGAATCATGAAGATTTTGAGAACATATATTAGAATGCAAAGAGAGATTGTAATGAGCCGGTATCTACGTGCTTATTAAGTGTAAGCTGTATACCAGCATATAGTTAAACGATAACTGTACTTTGTGCGTACGCAGGAAACATTTATCTACTATTCAACGCATAATATGGTAGCATCTCAAAGGGATTAAAGTACTTTCACAAAACAGCTTAATATTTAATGATACTACTTATATTTCTGTAAAAACACTTGCTAAGCGAGCAATTATAATATATATAAAGCAAAATAAAATAACAGAGTTACTATTAAATTATTAAATTTACGGTCATTAATTTTGTAATTTCAAAATTATTATGTTGCGCTATTTATTTAGAGAAACGAGGCCAATAAGAAAACGTGAAAGCTTTGTTTGATACATTTATTTTATATAAACTATAAATTCAATAATAATATCTTTTGAACTTCAAGCTGCTGCTAGAAATCCTCTCAATAATTTGTCAAAGGACTACTGTATATATATATTTTTTTTTTCTTAAATTAATTATCTTTAACGAATATTTTAATAATTAAAATCAACCTGCCGTTCTGTTTTCATTGGATTCTATAATAATATATATCTTGAATTTTTCCGGAATACTATGAACGATCGAAGTTACGTATTATTTCAGGCGATACTTAGATCGGTATTCATAATCTTATATTTAAGATTGTCCTAGTCTCAAAATGTTCAATGAAAATGAACTAATCAAAAAGCTTTATTAGCATTTTAAAACATTACTTAAAATGGTTTTAAAATAATAAGAATCGATTATATGTATACCGGCTTTAAATACTTAAAATAAAAATAACCCGTCCTAATTATTGATTCGCAAAGAAAAATAATGTCAAATTGCCAAAAGTTAATACAGCGAGATTTTCGATTAAGCATTTCCAGAACGTATTTTCGATAAACCGGCTGCTTGCCTCCTCATCCACGAGAATTGCTTAGATGCAAACTGACTGCTCGAGTTAGTCCGACTGCAACATCTAGTCTGAATATTTCATAAGGAGAGACTGGTCGATTTCCGTGCTTGCGGGAAGCGCGGTCACCTCGCTACGAAAATCGTTAGTCGGTGAGTATAAATAACGGTGGCGCGATTTCATACGTACGAGTATTCGTGTGGATTCAGTGTGAACAAAAGAACAATATTCTTCTTTAAAAATAATTTACTTTTCTATTAACTTACACTAAATGTTATCATTATTGATTTTTTTATATATGTAAATACTTTCT